ATTGAGGACAATGTGCAGTTTAAGTTTGGGGGTATTGGTGTATGTTTCAGTGTTACTTTAAAATTCAAATTTTTGAGCATGTCTTGTGTATTTGAGGGATATTTCTATACTTGGTCCATTTCTAGCTATGATTTTGATCTTTTGAGGACTATATTGCTTAAAATTTAAAAATTGCTTGACTTGAGAGTCCAATACTCCTTGTATGCCTTGAGGATGCCATTTAGGAGTAAATTTTTCAAAAGATTGATATCTTGCTTGCATTTGTGGTCCACATCATCCTGATTTTGTGATTGTTTTGAGATTCATTCTAGGATTCTACACTAGCACCGGTGCACGCTAGCATTCAATTGTGGGGTACATGCTTTGTTGATTATTGAATTGGTTATATCCCAATTGGGCTAGTAGTGTATTGAAAGCTTTCATTCTTGATAAAGGTGGATAACAACCCATTTTCATTGAGTAGCCGGGATTCTTGCCTCATTAAGCAGTGAACTTCTCGCGCCAAAAGGTGGAGGGCCCAAACTCTAGGTTAATAATTGAATTGAAAAAAAAAAAAAAAAAAAAGAAGAAGAAGTTGCAAAAAGCAATAAAAGTGAGGACTTCTCCCAAAAGGTGAGAAGTGGGAAATGATTAGAAGGTTGTTGTCTTGATTTGTAGCCTAGTTGATTTGAGTTTGTAAGTCCGTAGGGGTGTCTTAACACCTAATACCCTAAAGCCATCTGGTTTGGGAGTCATTGACCTAAAGCTCGCTACATGAATCTTCTAGAAAGCTTAAGAGATCAACACATTGCACAATACTTCCATCTTTGATCCTCAATAAAAAAATAAAAAATAATAAAAAATAGAGTGAAAAGAATAAGCGCACCTAGAACAATAAAGCTTTAATAAAAGGTCCACTCTCTTATCTTGATGATTGGTACTAGATTTGTGTGCTAATTTGAGGGTAAAGATGTGATTACTTCTCTAGTTAGCTAAGATAGCAACACACTTGATGTCGGACCTCTCACATGGATTCTAGACTTGTTTTGATTTTCATGATCATTTTCTTGATGTGTGGAGGACTATGCTTGCTTGCTTGATATTGAAATTTTGGGAGATTGCTTAGAAACGGTTGAAAAATTGCATACTTGAGGTAGTTTTCTCCCAATGCTTGTTTGCAATATTGGTGCCTCTTTTGAAAAAATAAGCTTAACGTTTATGGGTACCATTTCTGGAAACCCTCACGAGACTTTACTCGGCCACTAGGGGTAACCTAGGGGTTTAAAAGGCTTGTTGCATATGCTAAATGCAATCATGTTCCCTACGAAAGTGGCGCTATCATTTTACTTACTTTCCAGTTTATACTTGTTTAGTTGTTCATTTCATTCCTTTACTTCTTAGTTCATTGCTAGGGACTAGCAATATTTAAGTTTGGGCGTGTGATGAGCACTGAAAAGTGCGCATTTAAACCCGTTAAGCTTAAGCATTCTAGTACCTTTATCTATCTTACTTTGCCGTTTTAGACTTATTACGTGTTATTTATATTTTCAGGCACTAATCCCAAAATTGAGCTAACTCAGCCAAATAAGAGCTTAATTGAAGAAATCTTGAGATAAACCAAAGGAGGGAGCAAAGTAGAGAAAGAAAGGAGCAAAAAGGAATCAAAGTTATGCAGCTGAAAAGTTCGATCGATCCAACTTAGAGTTCGATCGATCGAACATCTATGATCGATCACAGTACTTCTCGATAGATCCAACCTTGGCCTTTGCTGAAATTCCAAGTTCGATCGATCCAACATCACCTTCGATCGATCGAACCCTATTTTATCCTATTCAAATGATTGATCTTATCCACAGCTGTACGCCTACCAACCACTTTTGTCCTTTTCCCCATAAATATCTTCGAAATATCTCAGCCTTGTCCTTATCCGGAGGAGTCAGACCACTTCGATCGATCCAAGATGCAGTTCGATCGATCGAACCCATCTTCGATAGATCCAAGTTAAGGTTTGATCGATCAAACTTCCTCCAGCGAGAAAAAGTTAAAGTCCAGCTCATTTATTCCGTCCTTGACCCAATCATTGGAGAATATGCCTTGCACGACCACAGCTCATCATAGGGTGTATTTGACCTACCTATATAAGAAATATGATACACTTTTTGGAGAAGAGCCTAGAGTCTCTTGTCACACATTGAAAATCATCTTGGAGGCTATTCTTGGAGAGGAAGAAGGGAGGAAGCTAGAGCAACCATTGGAGGAGATCTTCATCTACAAGGAGCAGCCATGGAGTTAGCCCTTGAGGGTTGGATCATCACTACCATGAGTGGTTAGACATCTTCTTGGGGCTAGAGTTAGCTCCAAGCATGCTTTCTATACTCTAATCTTGTGTATTATTGAGGGATTAGTGTTGTATGATACATCTTGATATTCATGTATATATAAATCTTGATTATTTCATGGTTTGTATGGTTTAATGCTTCTAATTGACTATTCTATTCTACCCATATGTCTATGTATGCTAGAGTAGGATATTCATGTGCTTATCTCTAGATTTAGTGTTTTTGATGCATGTCTATGTGTATTGATGCTATAGATCTAGAGATTATCAAGATGATATGCTTAATGAATGCTATTTTGGTTCATTTGATGGTTTATGCCTATTCTTGATGGTTTGTGCCTTTCCCCTAGTCTAGATAGCTTTATTTTCATGCTAGTAGTGTAGATTTAGTGTAGTGGTAGTATAATGTTAGATGGGAGGACAATCTACTCTTGATGTTTGATGTTCCATGCTTGTGAGTCCAAATGGCATATTCCTCTAATATTGTGTTGCATGTGGATTGTGAGCTTAATGAAGGATTAATGACTTGTTTTGATCTATTGTGCTATCCCCATGTTGTCTAGACAATATATGCTCTATTGCTTAGATATATTGTGCTCTTCACATGATGTTTAGACAATACTTGCTTGATTTGTCATCCTTGCCAATTGAATCAACCTAATGCACACACACCCTTATCATATTGCAACACATCCATTACCCTCAATTGATCGCTTGCTAGTAGTATAGAAAAGTATTGCTTGGTGGTGATCTCTACACCCCAAGACCTCTCTCTCTTGTTTACCTCATATTATTTTATTTAGTTGAATTCAATTTAGCTTAATCAACCAACCAACCAATTGTGTGATCACTTAACCTACTAACCCTAATTACCATAGTTTCACAGTTCGATACACCATCAAATCCCTTGGGACGATCCCTACTCGCCCTATCTATATTTTATATAGAGAAAGGTAGTAGTGGCTTTTTATAAATGTAAAACTTGGCCACCTCCTAAACACACACAACTCTCAAGCTTTGTTGGTTGTGGCGACTCCATCAAGGAAACCGACAGCAGTTTCTCCAAAACTTAATGCACTACAAGCTAATCGATCGGCATCTTCATTGCACTCCCTCGGTAATTGGATGAATTTAGTCTAATTGAAGTCTTTTGCTTCGCGTAGAACGGCAGAATGGTAGGCCTCTATTGTCTCATCTTTTTTTCAATACTCCCCAGTCACCTGCCGAATTATCAGCTATGAATCACTAAAAACAATTAGACTTTTGACCTTCAATTCCTTAGCGAACTTTAGTCTAGCCAGCGATGCTTTGTATTCAGCCTAATTATTGGTTGCACCGAACTAAAGTCTGACCGCCTGGCTCAGCGTAGTGCCTTCTGGCATTTGCAATTTGATCCCAATCCCTACCCCCATTTGATTTGAAGAGCCATCCACGAAGAGCCTCCATAAAGCACCTCCCAGATTTTCATCCATGTCTTCTACATCGCACTTCAGCAGGAAATTAGCCACCACCTATCCTTTGATTTTCGTTTTGGGTTTGTATGTTATGTTAAATGAGCTTAACTCTATAGCCCACTTTATCATTCTTCCTAAAAGATCTGGCTTATGCATGATCATCTTTATAGGAAGGGCGGTCAGAACGATGATAGGATGGGATTTAAAGTAATGCCTGAGCTTCCTTTTTACATTTATCAGTGAGAAGATCACTCATTCAGCCTTTGAATATCTTTTCTTCTGCTCGACCATTGTTTTGCTAACATAGAACACTGGGAACTACTTACCTTCTTCACAGCGCACCAAAATAGCACTCGTTGCGATGCTGGACACACCAAGGTACAAAAATAGTTTTTCACCTGGCTCAGGGCCAGATAAGACTAAAGGGTTCCGCATGTACTCTTTCAAGATGGTTAGTGCCTGTTATTGCTCATCCCCTCAGGACTGTTTTCCATGGCCTCTTATTGTGTCGAAGAACGGTTTGCAGCGATCTAATAGCTTAAAAATGAATCGACTTAGCGCAGCTATTTAACTGGTGAGTGCTTGCACTTCTTTGACCGTTCTTGGTTCTGCATTTTTTATCAAAGCTTTTTGCTTGAGCTAGACTAACTTCAATTCCTCTGTTATTGACCACGTGTCCTAGGAACTGCCCTGAGCCTACGTCAAATGAGCACTTGGTTGGATTTAGCTTCATTCCATACCTCTTCAACACACCGAACACATCGTGCAAATGCTCCAAGTGATCGTCCTTCTTCCTACTCTTGACCACCATGTCATCAATATAAGCCTCCACAGTCTTTCCCATCTGATCTTTAAAAATCTTGCTAACCAAGCTTTGATAAGTAGCTCAGCATTCTTTAGTCCGAATGGCATGACTTTGTAGCAGTAAATTCCCCGTTCGGTAACAAAAGAAGTTTTCTCTTCATCATTCGGGTTTATAGGGATTTGATTATAGCTTAAGTAAGCATCCAAGAAGGTCAATCATTCGTATCCTGTAGTAGCATCCACCATTTGATTAATCTTTGGCAATGGGAAGCTATCCTTTGGGCATGCTTTGTTCAGATTGGTGAAATCAATACATACTCTCAATTTTTCATTCTTTTTCTGCACAACAACTACATTTGAGAGCCAAACTGGGTACTGAACTTCTCTGATGAATCCTGTGTCTAACAATCGATCAATCTCATCAGCTATGATTTGATTGCACTCCGAGGCAAATCTTCTCTACTCTGCCTCACAGGCTTGGTGTCTGGGTCTACATTAAAGGAATGACAAGACACGGAGGGACTAATCCCTGGCATATTTGAATGGCTCCAAGTTAACACATCTTTGTTCTGAGACAGGAACTCAATTAATTGTTGTTTCTCCCCCACTGCAAGCCCTGACCCTATCCTTGTTGTTCTGTCTGGCTTATGAAGATCTATCTGCACATCGATGAGGGGCTCCTCGGTAAGAACCAAAGGCTCATCCTCCCCCCCCCCCCCCCCGATCACTTTGGGGGGAGGTTCCTGTAATTGCTATCTCGGACCGTCAGACCGAGCTGGAGCTTTTCCCTTCCCAAAAGCTTTTACTATCATGGAATAGCATTCCTTAGCTACAACCTAATCCCCGTAAATGTCAATCACCCCACTCCATCTGAGCTTAAACACCTCATCACCTGGTGTAGTATTGATGGGACACCTTGGACCCTATTGATCCATCCTCTTCCCATCAAGTGATTGCAAGACAGATGGATATCAATGACCATAAAGCTCTCTAGTAGAACTCTTTCAGTAGCTTGTACTGATAGTTCTACCATTCCAATGGGCTCTACTCGTTTCCTATCAAACCCCAGTAATGGATTGTCAATGGGCTTGAGCTTTTCTAGCTTGATCTCGAGCCGGTCAAACATTATTTTTGGCATAACATTCGCACTGCTCCCTGGATCGATCAGAAATCTGTGCACCAAGCATTCTGCCACTGTCAAACTTACGACCAGAGGATCTTCATGAGACACCTGTACTCTTAACAGGTCCTGTAGGCACAAAATTTCTCTCTATGAAATAATTAAAAAGAAATTAAATAACTCACTCAAAATAAAACATTAAGTGACAATAACAATTCATAGAAAAGCGTATATTGTTTGATTCTTTATTAGAGGTCTTGGCCTCTATTTATATACAAATAATGTGGTAAAATTATGGTAGAATTCGCATAGCTTGTCCTCCAATTAATTATATATACAATTCCTTACTAATTAGATTACAACCTTTTACAGTTATCTCTATATTAGACTCTTCCTTTTATAGAACTTTCCTTTCCTGCAGAATCCTTAGTTTTGTAGGACTTATTTTACTATACTCGGACTCTTGGGTCGGATATACCCAAGATCGCCAAAGCTTGCTAATGGGCTGGGAGCTTGGTATCCAGCGACCTTGGGCTAGCAATTACTTCATTTGGGCCGAACCAAAACTGGGCTTCTTTGTAGTCCATTGAGATATGAAACATGTAATTGTTGACGTGGATGCCTTTTAATGGAGGGAGATTTTTCCCTCCACACTTTACCCCCAACTCCCTCTTTAATTGGACTACGACTCTTAATTTAAAGGAAATTGAAGTTGTACAATTGTTCATTTTACAAAAGGTGGTTTAAAGAGTGTCTGTTGCCATTCTGACTAAAGGGATTCTACAAGGCTTGCTTTTGCCTTCACTGCGCTCATTGCGTTCATTGTGCTTTTCATGTTCTTTGCTTCGTCATGACACCAGGTTAGTTCTTCATTCATTTCTTTGATCTTGCATCATGAGTAACCCCCTCACTCATGACCGTATAGAAATTGAAGACTCTAATTCCACACTCTCGTCTTCCCCTACTCTCATTAAGGTTCCTCCCCTAGGGTTTCTAATCCTTTTAAACCTGTGAATGACTTAGCCAATCAGTTAGATGATTCCTTAATTCAGGCTGAGACGTCTACCTCTGGGTTGAATAATACCTTCACTAAAGAATAGAGAGAGGCAATTTTCTCTATTCGACGTATCAAGTTCTCCATTGACTCGGTAATGGAAGAATTTGAAATCCCTGAGGGGGTAGAAACTGTTGAGTATCCGAACACGGCTGATTTCAGTTCAGGAGAAGGCGTCGGAGAGAATGAGTTACTTCTCTCTATTAGGCATCTTAACACTCTTTTGTTCCCTCTTCTCCCCTTTTACCATCTGGTCTTTAATAAGTTAGGTCTTGCCTCCCTTCAAGTAAACCCTAACTTTCTTCGAATAGCCTCGACACTCCTGGTTCGTCGAAGGCTAGAGAGTCTTGATTTGACTATTACTGACCTGCTGATCACTTATACCATTTCCAAGCATGGGACCGAGCCTAGTCGTTTTTACTTTACCTCCTCTCTGCAGCAGAGGATATGTACGGACCTTCCTTCCTCCGAGAAGAAGTGGAAGGAGAGGATGATAATTGTTAGGGGGAATTGGTTTGTGTCCCAATAGAGTAAACTCCTAATTCCTCGTAAATTCAACCTAGGTATAGAGTATTCTCCCTCTCTTCATAAGAAGTGCTCTGGTTGTCTTCCATGTCATGTTTTAACTTTTTGTTATACTTATGAATTTCTTGGCATTGTTTCAGTGACCTTCCCTCATCTGTAACTAAGAACAGGCTTTCCTTTCTCGAAGGACAAGTTTGGAGTGAACCCCCATCCGTTGAGGAATTGCTTATCCCTTCCAACCTCAAAGAAATCGCTTCTAGTGCCACAGCTGCAGACCTTATGGACCTATAACTCCTAACTTTTGACAGCTTTCCAATAACCGAGGAAGAAAAGTAGAGAGCTGAAGCTCTAAAGAAGAAAGCTGTTGAAGACCAACCTTTGGTAGTCAACAGGTCGACTGAGCATGAGAAGGAGGTTGATGAGCCTCCTCTTAAGAAAACAAGGCCGAATCCTCCTTCCACCAGTAAAGGCAAAAATGTCCCCAAAAGCAGGGGGAAGAAGGATGGGGAAACTGACTCAGATGAGGAAGTTCAGGCTTATGTCCAAGTAGAGTCTGGAGAGCCTTGGATACCTTTCTTCTCAAAGGCTGACAAGTCAGTTCTCTATTCAGGGGATTCAATAGTCATTGACCCCTCTGCAGCTTTGGCAGTAGCCCAGGGGATATGGCTATCCAAGGATGAAGAAATCATTGGGAACATGGGGTTGAACCAGCTACTACCATCTACCCCAGTTCATGCTATAAAGGTTTATACTTTCCCTTATCTATAATATTTGTTTAACTTTCCTTTAGTATTACTCTCACCACTACTATTTATGTAGAATATGTACCATACCATGGCCCTGTATGCCACTGCTGAGGCTCAGTCCCTTTCACTTAAGAAACTGGAAAGGGACCTTGCCAATACTGAAAAGAATGCTTCAAATGTTATTCTGAATTCGAAGATAGCTTCTGAGGCGAGGGACATCTACAAGAATCGCTTGGCCGCTTCTGAAGCTAAGGTGGAGGCAATGGAGGCTGAGAACCAGCATTTGAAAGATGCGATTGGTACCTGCATCACTGTTGGGAAACAAATGCAGGGACACTACTCTGCCATTATGTGCTTGTCAAATGCAAAGGCATTTCGCCATGGATTTATTCAAGGCTCCAGTGATAAGCTAAAGGACCCAGATACCTTTGATATGGATATAAAGGTATCCTTCCCTTATTCTGAAGGTCCACAAGCTCAAGAAGCTAAGGTGTTATTTGCCAAGATGGTGAAGTCTCATCAAAAGGACCATCCAGCTCCAAGTTCTTCAATTCCATGAGCTCCAAGGCCTTTACTTCCTTCAGAAACTGCTTCCAACCCGAATGTGGTTGATGCTTTCGACTCTACTCCTTTTGACCCAAAAAGGAAGTAGGGTTGTGTAATTTCTTATTTTGAACCGATGAATGTTGAGACAATATATTTTTGCTCCTGGGCTATAATGATTAAATTTATTTTGAGGTGATTTGCATGTCTGTGAGTGCTTCTGAGTTTCTTACCATTACTAAGTAGTAATGTTTTCCTATCTTTGAGGAAGAATCATTGCCTGAGGACTTCGTACTCCTTGTGGTCTGAAGCAAAAACAGGAAAGATGATAAAAAAGGAATCCCTTTAACAACTCGATTAATATCCGAGGATGGTTTCCCCATCTAGCGATCTAACTATCAAGGGAACCCTTCTTACCATTGATTCGTATGGAGTAGATATATCAATACTCGTTTTTCTAATATTATTTTGATATAGGACAAACTTCTAAAGAGCTTAACATTCTTGGGCCAAACATCGGGGCCCGAATATGTAACGTCCATAAAGAATACTCTCCCCCATCTGGGTTTCGACCCTTCAGACCTAAGGAGTCTGAGGTACTAAATTCTTTAGTAGTTGTGTATGCCTTAGAAGAATATTCTATTGTTACCTTTGGACTCTTAGGATCTGAAGCGTGGAATTCCTCGGCAATGAGCTATGAGGGATTGTATTGTGTCGAACTCTTGGGGTCCGGAGCTTAAAGTTCCTCGGCAAAGAGCCAGAGAGGAATTGTGCTGAGCCAGACACTTGGGATCCGAAGCTTAAAGTTCCTCGACAAAGAGCCAGAGAGGAATTGTACTATGCCGGACTCTTGAGGCTTGAAGCGATATGTTCCTTCGCTATGAGCCTAAGAGGAATTGTATTGTGCCGGACTCTTGAGGTCTGAAGCGATTCCTCGGTTATGAACTTGCGAGGAATTGTATTGTGCTGGACTCTTGAGGTCCGAAGCTATGCATTCCTCGGCTATGAGCCTAAGAGGAATTATAATGTGCCGGATTCTTGAGGTCCAAAGCAATGTATTCCTCGACTATAAGCCTGAGAGGAATTGTATTATGCCAAACTCTTGAGGTCCGAAGTCTGAGCTGAAAAAGTTACCAAGTATGGAAGACGGGCCAAAGATTCAAAAATGATATAAGGCCACGAAAAAGAGTAACTATGACTGGGAAGTCTCCCATGCATTTGTTTGGGAGACTATCTTCCAAAGAGACTCTCTTCATGGCGACCAGATGTGGTGTGCCACAACTATATTAACTATACACCTCTTGTACTTCTATTCAATGTGGGACAAAGAATAGAGTTTACAATATGGGCCAGAAATTTGGGCTTTAAAAAGAATTATTGCAAAGAATGCCCGCTAGTATCAGGGCTTTGGACACTATTTGGGTTAGGCCGTTTCCATTACCAGTGGGCCCTCTTTGCAATACACTCAAATAGTTTAATATTTTTCAATATAAAGGAATGTATAAAGGTATTTTTTATCGACGTGGGACAGGGATAACAATAAAAGCTATCAGTGTGAGATGTGGGACAGGGACAATAGTAAAGGCAAGTTGCCATGTAAAAACTCAAACTAGTTTCAAAAACATGAACAGCTGTTGTGTCCAAGTGAAGATAGTCTCCACAAATAAACACTTGATAGTTTTCATGAACAATCGTTGACTTTGTGCTTGTTTTTATCTTCTCTTTTGTTGTTTTGTTACTTGTTTGTGTCGTTTCTTTTTTTGCTTGTCGTAATATCAATTCACAGTAGGGTACTAGTGGGTACTAGTCGTGTGATGGCCCTAGTTTTTTAAGCCAGTGCGTCTTGTGATGAACCGAAGATTGACCCGATAACGGACCCAAATGCAGAAGTGGAAACAGAAAACAAGACCCTAGAGATGAAATGCATCTCTAAGAAGCCAGAGTAACCTTCCATGAGGCCATGGATCTTAACGAGAACAATGCGGGAATGAATGATCAGAAAAAAAGATCGAATAGGCCCCCAAGGACAAAATAGTCTTTTCATGGGAAACAATCTCCTTGGGAATATACATCATTCCTAAGACACATACGTGATTTCCCATGAAGTCACAGGACTCAAAAGGAAGTAACAGAAACAAATTAAAAGAAAACCGGACAAATTTAGCCCCAAGGGCAAAATGGTTATTTCTTGAAATATAAAATCGGGAGCTACCGAGCACACCACTAGAAAGATAGCAAAAAATTAATCAAGTTAGACCCAAGAATCACTTGATTTGGAGTCCAGATGAACATGATATGAAACTCCAAAGTTTCATAAAATCAAACTTTTGGGTTTGAAATCAGTTCAGCAAGGGTACTTTACAAGGGGTAAAATAGTCTTTTTAGACATAAGTGAATGCAACCGTACACTCCATTGATAGAAAAGCAAAAATTAATAAATCTAGACTCAAGAATCACTTGATTCGAAGACCGGATGAAGAAGATATGAAACGTCAAAGTTACATAAAAACCAACTTTTGGGTTTAAAATCAGTGCGGCAAGGGTATTTGGCAAGGGTTAAAATAGTCTTTTCCGATAGAATTGGATGCAACCATGAAATCTGTTGGATAGACAAGCAAAAATTAATAAACTTAGACTCAAAAATCACTAGATTTGAAGTCGGGACGAATAAGATATGAAACGTCAAAGTTTCAAAAAAATAGTCTTTCTGGGTTTCAAATCTGTGCAGGACCTGCACAGATTTTTGAACTTCAAATGTGGTTTTGAGGGCTTAAACTACATTTTTTGGCAAAAAGTTGTGAACAAATCCCAACCCAAAATCATGTTTTCTACATGACCATGTCAAGAGAAGATTTTATTTTTCAAGCAAAATACCCAAAATACCTTTTTATTTCAGACTTTTTCCTGAAACAAAAATGCACGCAACAGCTTTTCCAGATATGTGAGCTATTTTTGGCATCAAAATAATTTTTTTTGTAAAAACACAAAGAAGAAACCTAGCTTAAAATCACGTTTTCTACCTAGCATCATGAAAGAAAATGAAAAAAACACACTGTAAATTACCCAGAATGCCCCTAGATCAGAAAAGGGTAAGAGGGTTAAAAAGCTGCTACAAGCATAACAGAAAACTGAACTTTGCACGAGATTTCTGGCACCAAGACAACATTTTTTGGAAAAAAAAGAAGAAAAAACCCCCCTAAAATCATGAATTCTAAGTGACCATGTCAAGGCTGGAATTTATTTCCCGAAGGAAAATCCCAAAATGCCCTTAAA